CTCTACTGCATGCTAAGGAATGGGATGGGTGATTTTGTCTTCTCCACTTGCTGAAGTTACCAGGGTTCACTTCCTTGAGCCAGGGGACTTTTGGATCTGGCTCAGCAATCTAAGAAATGGGATCCCAAAACCCCCCATATTTAGTCATGCCCCTCACTGATTGCTGTGTGTCACCCCTCTGCAGAGATGGGGAGCTGAAGTGACTCACTTCAACACCTCTATGAGTATTTCTGGTGGCAGAGAGACCTGGTCGAGGTCATTTTTGGACTTGGGCAGGGGAGCAGACCTGGGAATCTTTGGGAATGTTTGCTTATCCTCAGACACGAGGTCACGCTGCCTTTCTGTGCCTTGTTCACCCTGCCTTAAAACGGGGCAACGCAGCTTTCTCAAGTGCTTGGAGTCCCACAGTGGAAAAATACTTAGTAACTTTTAACCAGGGATTTGGTCCAGCCTTGTCTCATTAAAAGCACTCAGAGGAATGCTGCTGCTTTGCTAGTCCAGTTCTCTATCCCTTCTGCTTGGGAGGCTTAAGATGAGGGCAAAGAAAGGAAAAGGCCATTCACCCAAGCACCCATCAGTACCAATGTGATTTTCCCCACTGCAGCCCAAGCTGCAGGTTGTCAGTGAGGAAATCTTCAGAATTAACTTAATTTCTTGGGATTTCTTTCTATAGTTCCTTGGATTTTGTGTTCAGGCAGGGCAGCGATGGACTGGGAAAAGACACAAACTCTAATTCAGCTCCTCTGCATAGTCCATTTGGTAAACCAAATGCTACCTGTTGGTTTTTAGCAGTTTACAATATCTGGAACTTATTTCATTGCACATGGGGCTCAGAGGAACACTGTATGATGATGATTTTAATCCCTGTGCATGGACGGTTACTCATAGCAGATCATTTTCTATTAGTCTGCAAAGTGCCTTATGTACCTCAATAGCATCGTGAAGATGAAGAACACTTGAATTCATTTTGAGTTACTGACTTCACTGAAAAGGCAGAATGTAAGATGAGTATCACTTGTTTGTGATAATGGATCTGAAACAAGATAAATCTCCTATAGGAGACAAGCTGTCAAAAAGATGTCAAATTAATACAGAAATTACAAACTGAGAGTATAGAATTACAATAAGAAGACAAATATATACTCAACTCAATAGTTTCTAGTACATGCTAAGGGATGGGATGGGTGATTTTGTCTTCTCCTCTTTCTCAACTATAGGATCATAGAACTGTTTGGGTTGGAGGGGACCTTCAAAGGTCATCTGCTCCATTCATACAACAAGCTTACACAGTACTAAAGGAGCAACAAAGTCTTTATTCCCTGGTTTGCACTGGTGCAGTGGCTTCCGCAGTGCTCCTCTTGACAGCATCTGCACAGAGGAATCTGGGAGCAGGTCCAGGCATCTGCTCATTTGTTTTTGTAATTCAAGGGTGAAACAAATAGAGAAGATCAGATGGTGAGAATGTTAGAAAAACATTAGAAAACGGGCCAGCATCCTGCATCCCCCCCATGCATCTTCCTCAGGTGCCAGACTTTGCAACTCCTCCATCTTCAGCCAGTCTTGGGTCTGGTTTTTCCTGTTATTCCCCCTCAGCGTGCTTGGCACAAAGTGTAAAGAGACAAGACTCTCCCCCAGGAGTCTGGAAGCTCAATCAGACCCAGACAAAATAATGTGAACATGTGTGCTACTTTGGCTGCCACCGAGTTCAGTGCAGGGTGAGGTAATCTGGTCACTCCTGAAACACAGGATGTCCCAGTGTCTGGTTGCTGCTGGAGATGGCCTAAGTGCAGAAGTGGACAGAAGTTAGCATTGCTCCTCTTTGCCCAGCAGTTCTTTGGGATATTACTGGTGGTCTGACCCCAGGCTCCAGGATTTCAGTCCTGCAGCATAATCTGGACCCGGGTTTTAGGGTTGAGCACCAGCCATTCCAATGGGCAATTCAAGTCCTTAGGCTTGAGTGGCTATTTAAACAGAAATGCCATTTGATTAGAAATATCCTTCCAAATTAAAGGGTATTAAAACCAGCTTTTCCTTTCATACCACTTCTATAGAGTAGGTAAGAGGCAAGAAGAAACTAAAGCAATCATCAGACTCCAGGCCAACAGACCCACGTCCTATCATGATGGCAAAGTCACTTCTGCAAGGATTTTCAGAGGGAACATCACACCTGGTCTTCTAAATTCTCAATCCTAATCTCTGTTTTTGCTTCAAAAATGTTCTGCTTCATGTTCACTTGGCTTGAATGAACCATACAGAATGACCATGACTAGGCTGTAGCATCTTGTGAGGACTCTTGATCTTGAGTGTTGACCATTTACCAAACGTTCTTCATTTCCAGCCCTCTCCAAAATAAGAAAGGTTGGGAAAGCACACACTCTTTGATCACACAGTCCTCCACAGAAGCTGCCTGGCCATATCCTATGACCCCATTCAGCAGTACAGGCTGGGAATTGCTCTGCTGACAAAGACATGGGTGTTATGGTGGACCTTAAACTGAAAACGAACCAGCAAGCAGTGTACACTCACTGCAGGCAAGGCAAAGTACACACTGTGCTACATGGGGAGACTCATGTTCAGCAAACAGAGAGGAGTTGTTGCTCTATCAGTTCATCATTGGTGAGGTGCCTAGTTTGGACCACGCTGTTCAGGGGAACGTTGAAAGACAGGAAATTGGTCAGCAGAGGTTTTACCAGGTTGGGATGAACACACCAGTACAGCCTGAGGCTAACTAGCTGGATAGTGTCTTTGCAGAGGACGTGGGGGTCCCGGTGGATTCCAAGTTGCACATGAGCCAGCAATTCACCCTTGGGAGAAAGAAGACCAACAGCCTCCTGGATTGCCTTAGGAGGAGCATTGCCAGCAGGCCAAGGGAGGAGATTAAGTGCTCAGCACTCAAAACACATCAGGAATATTGTGACCAGCAAATACACAGAGACTTGGGAATCTCTTCTCCTAAACCTCAGTTCCCCAGCTTTTCATTCCAGAAATCTGGAAGCCTTCTACTTTTGTCAGGAGTTGCAGAAGTGTTCAAGGTCTTGGGAGTTGCATCTAGCAGGGATTTGTAGTTCATTAGCCCAACAAGCAAGGGTTTGGTGGCTGAGCAGGAAAAGCCTTTGTGACTCACCAGGCAGGCTCAGAGCTGCTGTGATGCTCTCTGGATCCCATTAGGACTGTCCCTGCAAAACACTTTTGGCCAGCAGGAACTCTCCTGAGAATCCACTTTTCACTGAAAGGCTTCTGACTTAGGTAGCTTCTTCCTTTGCTTTGTACATGGCCACCAACAGCTTGAAGCATCTCACAGGCAATGGGACACCTTCAGTACATCCTCCTGACCCCCACAAGCAGCAGAAGGGATTAGTGCAGGCAGAAAGCCAGCTGCCAGAGGATGGTTCATGCCGGGGGGAGCTGGATATCCAGACTCCCTTGGCAACACAAGCCTTCCTCATTGAGACACACTGTGGTTCCTGTGAGTAGTGGGAGATGTGCTTGCTGCTCCTGCTCTCCCAGTCCTTCCTCACTTGGCTCTTTGGTAGCAGGGATTTCAAACTCTCATAACTCACATCTTTCAGCACCATTCTTTGCTGATTGAAGCTGATTTTTTTTTTAACCTCAAAATCCTGCTCAGCTGCTTTGAGATATTCCAGACATTTTTCAACCATTTATTTTTATTGAAACAAGCCAAGTTTCTGTATATATTTGACTTTTTTTTATCTTTTTAATATACAAATCAGTTTAAAATAGTGTGTAAGTCAGGAATGATTTGCAAATTAAACTGTCAGACCCTGGCAGGAGCAGCAGCTGACGCCCTTGATTTGAAATCTCCTGGCTGCTGGTGCTGTAAGCGCAGATCTCTAGAAGATGCCACACAACCTGTTTGGAAAATGCAGCCCTCGTTTGATTTCATAGAGTCATAGAATGGTTTGGGTTGGAAAGGACCTTAAGATCAGCCAGTTCCAAACCCCCTGCAATGACCAGGGACACCTCATACTAAACCATGTCACCCAAGGCTCTGTCCAGCCTGGCCTTGAACACTGCCAGGGATGGAGCATTTACCACTTCTCTGGGCACCCTGTGCCAGCGCCTCAGCACCCTCACAGTAAAGAACTTCTTCCTTAGATCCAACCTGAACTTCCCCTGTTCCAGTTTGAACCCACCACCCCTTGTCCTGTCACTCCAGTCCCTGATGAAGAGACCCTCCCCAGCATCCGAGTAGCCTCCTTCAGACCCTGGACGCTGCTCTGAGGTCTCCACGCAGCTTCTTTTCTCCAGGAGGAAGTCCTAACAGTTCCCAACATGCTGCTGCGTGTAACTCTGGTCACCAGCCCAGGGAAGGGATGTGATGTTTTAGGAGTCAAATACTGGAGCTATGGTTATGCCAAGAGGTTGGGCAAATGTCTTCTGGCTGCCAGCACTATCCTGCTCCCATTGCAGTGCAGGAAGAGCCTCCAGCTGGGAAGAAGCTGCTCCATTGGAGGAAGGATCAAATGGATAAGCACCATGTTCAGGAAACAAGACTTGGTAGGAGCTTCATATTGGCCCTCCTATAACAGCAGATTATTGGCCTGTGCCTCCATGAGCATCCATGCACCCTGCTTGGACTCAAGCAACCCCGTCTACTTCTCTGGGCCATTCAACATGACCGTGTGTATGTCCCCTGTCTTCCCCCTCTCCTTTACTCCCCTTGGCATAGTTCACATGTCTGTTCTTCCTCAGGCCTTAAAACCACTTTTGCACAGGGCAGAGGAAGAGAAACTTGAAGTGGGGATTGTGTGTCTTCTCCAATACACGTATCTGGAACCACTGGAAGACAGTAATTATAAACCCAGGTATTTTCCTACTGATTACTGGTATCTCATATTAGCAGATGAAACTCAGCTCAGAGAGTGCAGCAATATATAGACCTACTGAGAACATGGTTGCAATGTCCTTAGGTGTCAATATTTTGAGTTCTCAGGAACGCTGACATCCCCATCAATATCCCTTTGTTTCTTCTCTTCCAGATCACTGGGAAGGCAGTGACCATGCCGACCTCCTCCACTCAGCTGCCAGCCCTTGACTCTATCAACACCACCCAGCAACCCAACTCCAGCATCTACTTGTTCTCCAAGTTCATCCACCCTGACACAGAACTGTACACAGAATTCTACAGCCTATGGATTGCCCTGATGGTGGTCAATGCCATCATTTTCCTGGTGGGTGTTGTGCTGAACAGCTTGGCACTGTATGTCTTCTGCTTCCGTACCAAGACGAAAACCACCTCTGTTATTTACACCATCAACTTGATTGTAACTGATCTCTTGGTGGGCTTTTCCTTGCCTGTCCGGATCATCATGTTCTACAGCACAGGGGACTGCCTCAATTGTTCCTTGGTTCATATCTTTGGCTACTTTGTCAACATGTACTGCAGCATCCTCTTCTTGACGTGCATCTGCGTTGACCGCTACCTGGCAATCGTGCAGGTGGAGGCCTCACGTAAATGGAGGAACCCCACATGTGCCAAGGGGATCTGTGTCTTCATTTGGATCTTTGCCACTGCGGTAACTTTCTCCATCCTGACCATGGCAATACAGTTTGCTGAGTGCTGCCTCTCCAAGATTCTGGTCCTGATGGTGTGCGAGTACTTCTTCCCCCTCATCATCATCATCTTCTTCACCACCAGGATTATGTGTGCTCTGTCCAAGCCCAGCCTCATGCACCAGAGTCGGGAGAGGAGAATGAGGGCTGTGCAACTCCTTATCACTGTCCTCATCATCTTCATGATCTGCTTCACTCCTTTTCACGTGCGACAGGTAGCAATCTCCATCAACCCAGACATGCCCCATGGTGTCAGCCGCCTCGTCTACCATGTGACAGTGACTCTGAGTAGCCTCAATAGCTGCATGGACCCCATCGTCTACTGCTTTGTCACCAATAACTTCCAGTCGACCATGAAAAACATCTTTAGGAAAACCGAGCCAGAGCAAACCAGTGTGGACATCCTGGGCATGAAAAAGAACTCCAAGGCCCCCAATGCAATCATCGCCTTCTCAAACACAATAGGAAGCCCTGTGAGCTTGCCATCACCAAGCAGTGTCCAGATATAACCCACATCTGATGGGACACAGTAAGCCAGTGTAGTGACGCTGGAATCTTGCTAGGATGCACAGTACTATTGTCTTTGACCTCTTTGTTTTTTAGGCTGAGGTTCAGAATGACAGTGGTGGAATTTATTCCTCAAGAACATCGTGGTCTGTTTGGAAAATGGAACTTGCAGTGATTTTAGTACCAAAACAAAAGAGAATCCATTAATTACTGTTCCAAATGGGAAAGTTTCCTTTGTATTTTAATACAGACATTTTGCTAGCAACAAATTCTTCACTGTGGTTTTCTTTTCATGTTTCACATTGTAATGCAACACTCCTGGGATGACCTAGAAAGCAGCAAAGCTCTGTTTTCTATGAAAGCTTTTGGGCTTTGACCATGTGTTTAAGAGTAAAGGATAAGAGGGATGTTTCCAGAGCTGTCCACCACAAAGATTTTAGATGCCAGTGGAGTGAGAAAGAAAGTATTCTAACCCACTTGTCACTAGTAACTACTCATGTGTTTCTGATAAAGCCTGAACCTTCTCAGTGAAGAGGAGATGCAATCAAACAGTAAAGTCTCCTCTCACTATTTCAGCTATAAGCAGAAAGCACATGTGGGTGTATATGTTTTCACACACATTGTTTGGGCTTGGGGAGAGGTTAAAGATGTGTTCCACCTTTATTTGGATTACTAAATCTCCGAAACTGTATACAAAAAAGCATACAAAAAGAGCATGAACCAAAAAGCTGTGAAAATGAACATGCTTTCCAGCAAACTCTGCTGTTCTGCTGTCTTCCCTGAAGAACAGCCAGGATGAAAAGCAGAACCAGACTAGGATGCTATATACTGCTCTCCTTTGATTTTTCTTCCTGGCATGTTGTAAAATCAGGGCTCACTGTCCTAATTCCCACTGTCAGTCCATCCACTCAGTCACTTCAATGCTGATGCTTCCAAGGACAGAAAAAGAAGCCATCTCAGGCATCTAGGCTGAAATTCACCCCAGTCACTAAAATGATTTAAGTCACTACCGTGATTTAAGAGCCACATTTAAGAGATATGTGAGGCTAAGGATGCCACAAAATTCTGTCCACAATGGTTGCTAAATGTTTTAGGCTACATTGTACCTGTAAAGCAATGTGAATACAAAAAATTATCCTAGGAAAACAGCAAAACCTGCAGCATGAACAGCAATAACTCTTGTCATTGCTCCATGTCTCCTCACCCACATGCCTATTGCTCCTGCAGCTGGTTCTGGTGTCCTCAACATAAAAAGGACATGGAGCTGTTGGAGCAAGTCCAGAGGAGGCTACGAGGATGATAAGAGGGCTGGAGCAGCTCCCGTATGGAGACAGGCTGAGAAAGTTGGGGCTGTTCAGCCTGGAGAAGAGAAGCTGTGTGGAGACCTCAGAGTATCGTTCCAGTGTCTGAAGGGGGCTACAAGGATGCTGGGGAGGGACTCTTCATTAGGGACTCTAGTGGTAGGACAAGGGGTAATGGGTTTAAACTTAAACAGGGGAAGTTTAGATTAGATCTAAGGAAGAAGTTCTTCACAGTGAGGGTGCTGAGGCGCTGGAATAGGTTGCCCAAGGAAGTTGTGAATGCTCCAACCCTGGAGGGGTTCAAGGCCAGGTTGGACAGAGCTTTGGGCGACATAGTTTAGTGTGAGGTGTCCCTGCTCATGGCAGGGGGGGTGGAACTAGATGATCTTAAGGTCCTTTCCAACTCTAACTATTCTATGATTCTATGAATTCATAAGGTCTAGTGAACTGCTTTTCCTGGCACTCATTGGTGTTACCATCCAGAATATTAGGGTTTATGGCTGGTTCAAGCTAGGACACCCTAAAGTACTCTGCTTCCCAGGGGTCTGACTATGGGACAACCATCTCCATTTCACAGGAACACAGCATGACCAATGCTACAAACTGCCTCTTGCAACTGAGTTAGCAAGAGTTTGCCTCTTGCAACGTGTGTATGTTTCCCCTAACCTCTTTTTCTGACCAATCCAATGGTAATAAAAATTGCACAGTCAACATCACTGCAATAGAGGGATCTAGGCAGAGGGGAGTATAGCTGTCCCCAGGAGCACTGGGTGTCCCAGTTCCCATTCCAGGCATTGGAGTCTATGGAGGGTGATTCAGCCCGTGGAAGCAGAGGCCTCCCTGACCTCCATGTCACCTAGATCTCCAGGGATATAACAGGAGCCCAGACACCACCTGAACATGGAGACACTTTGGTGCATCTATCTTCACCACACACCAAAGTCCCCCAAAGGAAGGACTCAGTTGCCAGTAGACCAATGCCTGGTGCCATGGTTGGCATGATGGGGTGTCACCTCGCCTCTAGCTCCTGCTGCATGTAAGTGTGGTTCTGCTACAAGCCCTGCACTGTTCTAATGGTCCTATCCCCAATATCCTATAGTATTCACTTCTGCTTGGGCAGCTGAGTCCTGTGCCTGAAGTAAAGTTGTGTATCTGCAACCTACAAATGGGCAGTGTTCAGTCCCTGTTCAGGGACCTGCAGGTCTCACCTAGAACATCAGCATGACACTGTCAGCTGCACTTGGTCCATTAACCATGCTCTTGATCATGCCGGGGCACAGCAATTTGCCATTGCTTGGTGTGTGACCTCTTCGAGGTTTTCCCAAGCAATACAGTGCACTCAGTGCTCTTTTCCTGGGATCTCTGTTCCTTTGAAGAGGATTTTCCTTCCAAGAGGTTGTGATGAGGGTCACCAACACTGTGGCATGAGATGTACGACTGTTATCCTGGTCATTCATTCCCATTCTAAACATGGCCATGAACATGGTAAACCTTCCCAGGGCCCAGCCGTGCTGAGGTTTTCCTTCTACTTTATATATTTCTTTATTCATCTGTAAATCACTGTTTCAGGTACCTAACAATCAATGCCACCCTCTTGGCAGCTCTCTGGCAGCTCTCTGTTAAATGATGCATCAGCACACATGGATTAGGCTCTGACTTCTCAGCCAGGTTGACCACTTCACATTTCTGCCACTGTTTTCCACCAGCCCCTCATTTGGAGAGAGTATTTTATGCCTCAAAGGTCTGCACTTCCCTGCGAACTCCAAAACCTCATGCCCACCAACCCACTCTCAGACCTTTCCATGCCATTCAAGCTGTCAGTAGTGAAAATGTGTGTCACATACACAGCACTGTCTTTTGCCAAGACTACTTCACAGTAACGGGAGGAAAAGTGCAGGCTCAGTGCTTGGCTTATTTCAGTTTCTTTGTTCCAACAAACTACAGCTTCACACCTCCCTTTCTTTTGCTATCAGTGGCTTTTTGCCATGTACAGAAATGTCTTAACATGTCTCTCAGTGCAGTTGCTCATTTGAGGTCAGGATAAAACCTCTGAGAGTATTTGCTTAGATTTTTAAGATCCTAAACAGGGTCTCAGCTGAAGCTCTCTCTGCTGTAACCTTAAGCTGTAGTAGTCTGAATTCTCTTTACTATCAGTGTATTATTCACTCCCTGTAAGAGACACCTGAGTCTGGATAGTTCTCTTTATTTGGTAATGCCTGTTGCCTTACCAGAGATTTCAGTGGTTCTCCATTTTTTACGAGTTCAAAGGCAAGGTCTTGTCCCTTTATCAAGGACACATTCTCCAAAAACTGGAAAGAACCTAGTAATTCCCAAACTAGCCTATTTTTCAGTGACTTTTAGTGTTATCTGTTTAATGCGTGCTGTTTACACATCTTGCTTTTCCTCATGGTCTCTAACCCTTCGATCTGCATCATGTCTCTGCACAGGGTATCTCTTCGGGTTGCCTCTTAGTCCCCAACAGCACTGACAGGGATTGCAATAGTCTTGTTCCCACCCCAACCTGCCCCTTCTGGGATGAGAACAGCCGCACACGATACAATAGGGAAGCCTCCAAGGGCAATGTGAGTAACTCCATTCACCATTAAATACATGCAGACACTGCACATAGAGATCAGCTTTTGCAGGGCAGTCTTTTATGCACAGTACTTAAAGATTTAGATGCCAAATTCATGATGATCCCCAGTAAAATCAGGCACTTAACAGCCTTTGAGAATCTGGATCACTCCCCAGAGGCTGATAGTAATAGGGGTGGATGGGCATTGCATATCATGCTACCCCCACCAAGCAGACAGAACACAGCATTCCCTTAAGAGCTTAACAGCAATAAAGAGCTCTGTAAAATGCCCCAACCTCTCAGGGAATTACAGCATTCAGACCTCTTTGACGTGCTGTGGTTCTCTTGTGCATCTGAAATCCTACGAAGTGAACTGGAAATATCCCCTCTAGCTGCCCAGAGGCTAGCAAAAAAAGATCATGGGATATCTCACACATGTTTCTCAGGATTTCAGTCACTTGCTAACCATGAGCTCGCCTGCTTGAGCCACAACACGCAGGTGTCTGTAGCCTTTGGCATGCCAGGGAATGGGTATCCAGGAATAAAGCTCAGCCTCTTTCTCTCCCTGCTGGGTGTCTCACCTGTGTGGCATTCAGCACAGCCCATGTTTCAGAGCATTTCTGTCTTTGCAAGGCATTTCCTACTGTAGCCCAGAAACCTGTAGCAAGGCAGAGGTGCAGCACAGCCAGCCCTCAGTACACTGCAAACACGTCTGTGCCCAGCAAAGCTGAGAAGTCTCCAGTTCTGCACCAGAAAAGGAGCCCATGGCTCCACATGTGGGGTCATCTGCCAAGATCAGTTCCTCCTGGGCTCTGAGTAGCCTCCCCCTTCCCTCCACCACCGTCTTGAGAACTGTTAATAGGAAGCAACACAGATATGTGCAAAAGCAATTTCTTCCTTCCTCATCCCTCTGGGGTTTGCTGTCCCTCAGCTGTGTGCAGGAGTCTCATTACTCAACCCAGTCAGCACTAGTAAGTCCTATTAGCAGGTGTAGGCTTGACTCGAGGAAAGGCTGAAGTGGAATTGCCCATGTCAGGGCTATCAGCACAGGCCACCTGAAGAAACACCTCATCTATTCTGTACCTGTGGGCTGCCTCCCTCCAGGGTATAAGGACAGGAGAGGCTG